AAAAATCCCCCAGAATTCCTCAGTGTTTAGACTCTTGGACACGCCCTCCTACGGTAGCTTTAGCGTCTGTTGGTGTTCAGACTGACGAGACTAATTTCCGGAAAATGCAGCAAAAAATTCCAATGACGGCTTTGTGGCCACTGTGTCCCCACAGAGAAAAAATAATGTTCGTGTGGCTGCTCCCAGTGGGTGTAAAGAGGAACTGTTTGTTTTCTTTTTTTTTTTTTTCATTTTTCAAGTGTACACATTGGACACGCTGGTGGTGAAGCTGATTACTGTATTATATATTGAAGGACTGAGAAAGTGTTTCTGTGTATTCAGTACAGTCAGTGTATGTGTTGTTGTTGTTTCTAACGTGAGACCAATCATTAATCTGCTCCACAGACATTTGGAGAAAAAAAAAACAGACTCAAAAACCCAGTGTCTAACACAGAGCTAAGACAGCAGGACTCACTCGTGGTTTTTGTGCTCACTGTCTGATCATATAATGATTATCTGCTGTGACTACGGCTGTGGTCTGCAGTAACTTGTGATGTATGTGATATAGTACGTGTCCTGTACACACATCATGGGTCCGTGCTCCTGAGCACACGTGCAACACGCTGTACAAACAGAAATGTTTTGTTTGTGTGTTCTGTGAATTGTTTAACTCTAACATGGGCTCCAACCCCCGCAGGGTGAAAAAACAAACACAACTCCCTCCCTCCCTCCCTCCCTCCCTCACCCCTCAGGGTCTGTCTGTGAACTAATGGCCCACGTCCTGGTTATTTTTGATCAGAATATGACAGTATTTTAACTGACAAAAAATTAACAGAAACAGAAACAAAACATTACGAGCTAATCTGACGAGAACAAACAATGACGAACTAAAGCATCAACTAAAACTGGTAAAATAAAATAAAAAATATATATAAACATATATATATATATATATAAATTAAGCTAAGCACACAATGAACATGGTTTCAAACTTGCAAAAAGTCATTTCTACCAGTTCCCAGTTGCGTATGCCACCTACCACAGACAAGGGGGAGGGAGTTTCATTCACTGATTCATTTTGTGACAGTAAAATATGTAGATTGGTTTCGAGTGGACTAATTGGTTGCATATTAAAGCCGTCCACCCCAACCAAAATGGATGGAGCCTAATTTGAAAGAATAAATAATTCCCAAACAATAAAAGTGTTACGTCTGACGTTTGTTGACATTTACTGTACGTTTATATGGTACAGAACGCTCCTAACATTTTAGTGCTAACTCCAGTCAACGTCGACGGAAAAGCCTCAACTAGTCACCTAATTTGCGCGGCGTCACACAAACTGTTCTCCACGGAGCGTTTTTATTCTCACGTAACTCTCCACCGCTGTTGTTTTTAATATTCAAAGAGCCATGAATCAGATCTTTGACGAGATCTGGGCTTTTACTGACTGATTGGTTCCGTGGTGATATTCCAGATTTATCGCCGCAGCCTCTAACCCACATTGAACAACGTTGGCTTTACTGTTGCTGCTGTTCCTCGTAACCTCCTGAATATTTATGAAGGCTGACAGAGTGTGCCAGGTGAAACAGTAAAAGTGGCTGCATGGGAAATAATAAGCAGTGTCATTTACAGTGTGGGAGTTGATTTGGAGGTCTGTGTGAGCGGAGCTGTTGGAAGGAGATTTAAGAGAAATTATGACAAAAAAAGGAGCAGAATCACAGACTATTCACTATTTTGACCTGGGTTTGACCTTGACCCCAATACAGTTCCTGTTTGGTTTTTTAATAATTCATTTCATTCACAGTCAATTTAGAGTCAACAAACAACTTAAATCCTTCATGTTTTTGGACCCACACACTCCTACCAACCAAGATTTTTTTGCAAAGGCAACAGCGTCCACCACTCTTCCACCGTGTGACCTTCTCAAACAACATCATGTTGCAAAGCTTTAATAATTAGAACAGGTTTCCATTGAACCGTTCAAAAAAACAAACAAATAAAACCTCAAACTGCTCAACAAAACCATAACAACAATAAAACATTCTGAAGCTCACGTTGCTTCAGAGACTTAAAACTTAAATGGTTGAAAGTTGTTCAAATCAGACAGTTTTTTATTGTAACATTTGTCTACGATGGCCATCGAAGCGTCGGTTTCCAGGCGACTCCCAGGTCTGTCATCTCACAGACTGCGTTCACTCGTTCAACTTGTCATTTTACCCAATCATTTTCACGACTGCTACAAGCAGCACCTGCTCTGCACCAAAAAACACATTCCAGGCCTGATTGAATAGTTGGACAGCGGTCCTTTTATGATCCGGGGCGGACACATAAATCACATGACTTTGTCCTGGTTTTTCCTCCACACTGACTGCTCCTTCCTATCTCAGCAGGGCAGATTCTTCCAA